CATTCCTTGGCTTGTGGGCTTTCCTTCCTCCCCTTCAAAGCTCATCACCCCAGCCTCAGGTCGATGGTCCCATCTCTCTGGCTCTGAGCTTCCTATGCCCTCCTTACAGAGTCCTGTGGTTACTCTGGGCCCATAGGGAAAAGCAGCATAATCTCCTCATTTAGAGGTCTAAAATTAGTCACCTCTTCAGGGTCCCTTTTGCCAAATAAAATAATATAGTCACAGATTTCAGGACTTAACACATGAATGTCTTTAGAGACTATTATTCTGTCTGCCACATTGGTCACAGTGGGTTTTCCTTTTTATATATTGCTTGATAAAATTTTATAATACAATATCTGCTTAGGAGTTTTGTATCCTTGTCTTTGACTGATAGGGCTCATTTTTTTCATCTGGAACTGGAGTCTAATATTAAAGTTATGCCAGCAGAGCAGGGCATAGGGGCACACACCTATAATCCTAGCATTTAGGAGGCTGAGGCAGGAGGATTGCCATGAGATCAAGGCCACCCTGATCTACACAGAGAGTTCAAGGCCAGCCTGGAATGTATAGTGAGACCCTGTCTCAAAAAACTCAAACAAGGGCCAGGGATTTAGCTCAGTGGTGCTGCTGTCTGCCTCACAAGTGCAAGGACCCAAGTTAGATCCCTGATACCAAAAAAAAAAAAGAAAAAAAAACTCAAACTATATACATACATACATACATACTTACATAATACCAGCCTTATAAATAAAGAATATGCCTTTTCCCCTGTTTCTTAACGAGTTTGTATATGGTTAGCATTACTTTCCCTTAGCTATTTATGGGTACCTTTTTAAAATATTGATTAACTTCTTTAAGGATTATTGGTCTTCAAATTTCTATTTCTTTGGTAAAATTTTGGTAAGTTGTTTTTTTTTTTAGTATTAGATTAACATAAAATCCTGTTATCTTTTTAGAATTTATAGAATTTGTACTTATATCTGAATTTTAATTTTTATATATTATTTGTACATTCTTTCTTTTTAAGTTTTTCTTTAACTTGTCAGGAATTTATCAATTTTATTGGCCTTTCCAAATAACTAAATTTTGTCTTTCTTGATCCTCTATTGTATGTCACTTTCCATTTCATTATTCTTTCTGATATCTTTATTTCATTTATTTTATTGTATGCTCCTTTTGTGTTTCCTCTTTCTCTTTTTCCTTCTTTCTTTTTCTCTTTCTTAAGTGTTTTTGAGACACAGTCTCACCATGTAGTTCAGGCTGGTCTTGAACTCACTAGGTAGCACAGGCTGGCTTCAAACTCATAGCAATTCCCTGTCTCAACCTCCAGATTCCTTCCTCTCTCTCTCTCTCTCTTTTTGTTGTTGTTGTTGTTGTTTCTGTGGATCAAACCCTACGCCTTTGTGGTGCGCTATATCTCGGCCCTATTTTATTTTTTATTTTGAGGCAGGGTTTTACTAAGTCACTAAATTGTTCTAACTTATGATCTTTCTGCTGTAGCAGCCCAGAGTGCGGGGATTAGAGGTCAGTCTTTTTTATATATCTCTATCATTCAGTATAAGATAGGTTATGTTGCAGTAACAAACAATGCCCACATATGTCAGGGCTTTTAACAACATAGTTTCTTTCTTATTCATGCTTATTTATGTTCTGTCCAGTTTGACTGGTTCTTCAAACAGTCTTGAGTCTAGGTCTCAAGCTAGTAAAAGTATCCACTATCTAGAAGACTGATAATCATTTTGGCAAAGGGAAAAGAGATGGTATAGAGATAGATTACTGCAGTTTGGCTCTCAACATTTCTGCCTACATGTGACATAAAAAGCTTTCTTGCACATTCCATGGGCCAGATCAAGAAATATGGCTAAGTCTAATGCCAATACCAAGAGATAGACAGTGAATCTTTGTGAATAATACAAGAGTACCCCTTATTTTACTTTTTATCTCTGTGAGGTAGTATCTTAGCTCATTAATTTTCAAGTTTCCTTATTTTTTAATATATGCACTTAAGAGTAGAAATTAGTTATGTAAGTATCAAATCATATAAATTTAGTTAATATTCAGTTTAAAACATTTTAAAATTTCCTTTGTGATGTCTCATTTGACTAATGTGTTCTTTAAAAGTGTTTCCTAAATTCCCAATAAATGGGGAAGGTTTTCAATTTTTTTCCCTAGTGTAATTGCATATCTGAAAATATACTTCGTCCGATTCCTTGTTTTTTGGTACCAGAGATAGAACTCTGGTCTTTGTGCTTGCAAGTCAGGCGGCAGAACCCCTGAGCTAAATCCCCAGCACACTTCATCTGATTTCAAATGTTAGGCTTCTTTTAGATGCTACCTTCAACCACATGATTGTGGAAGGAGACCTTAAGTCTCAGAGGAGACCCCCAACTCTCTTCTGCCTCTTGGTTTCAGCCTGTTGATATGCTAAGTAGAGAACTTAGTTGATCCCTGCCTGGATTTCAGATCTATAGAACTGTCAGAAAATAAATCTCAACATCTCTTTAAGGCACTAACTTTGTAGTAATTAGTTATGCAAAAATAGAAAAGCAACAAAACGTTTCTAATGGTGGATAAATCATTCAATTTTTATCTAAAAACATCTTTTCATGTTTACTCTTTGTTTTGTTTTTGTTTTTTGTTTTTCGAGACAGGGTCTCACTATGTAGTTGAGACTGACCTGGAACTCACTTTGTAGCGCAGGCTGGTCTCCAACTCACAGTGATCCTCCTGCCTCAGCCTCCCAAGTGCTGGGATTACAGGCGTCCGCCACCATGCCCAGCTTCTTGTTTACTCGTAAAGAATCTTTTTAATGGATTTAGAATTTTAAATTAACTGGGTGTGGTGGCATAGGCCTGTAAGCCAGGCCAGCCTCAACTACATAGGAAGATCCCGCCCCCCCCAAAAAAATTCTTCTTTTAGGCTAGTAGTTTTCTTTTATTCTTTGAAGACATTACATTGCTTTCTGGTTTCCATGACTGCTGTTGAAAAATAAGCTGTCTGTTACTCCTTTAAAAACAATTTTCTGCCTCTGCTTATTTTTATTTATTTATTTTTTGTTTTTTGGTACCAGGAATAGAACTCAGGGCCTTGTGCTTGTGAGGCAGGCGCAGCACCACTGCGCTAAATCCCTGGCTCTGCCTATTTTTAAGTTTTCGTCTTTGGTTTTCTACAGACTTATTGTAATCTGCCTTGTAAGGATATCTTTTAATTAACTTTAATTAACTTTGCTTGAGATTTGTCACTCTTCTGAAGTCTTTCACAGTGTGGAAAATTCTTATCTTTAAAAATTTCCTCTGTTCAGCGGGGCGTGGTGGCGCATGCCTGTAATCCCAGTACTCAGGAGGCTGAGGCAGGAGGATTGCTGTGAGTTCGAGACCAGCCTGGGCTACACAGTGAGTTCCAGGTCAGTCTCAACTACATAGTGAGACCCTGTCTCAAAAACAAACAAACAAATAAACAAATGAAAAAATTGCCTGTTTCCTCTCCTGCCATGCCAACCCCACATCAGTGAGGCCTTCCCACCCTATCCTTTGTGACTCTCTCACTTGTTCTATTTTTCAATGTTTGATCTCTCTGTAGTTCATGTTAGACTATATTCTCTGAGATATTTTCCAACTCACAAATTCTCCCTTCTCGGATCTAAAATGTTAGACCCATCCCTTCCATTTTAATATCTCATTATATTTTTCTGTTCACACATTTCTATTTGACTCCTTTTCTATATGTTATGTTGCTTTTTATAGCTTTTAGATTCTTGTCAAGATTTTCAAGCTTGGTTTTTATTTCCTTAAAGACAGTAAACAGTTTGTTTGTTTAACAACCTCTGTCTGATAATTTCAATTTGTTAAGCAGTGATCTGTTGGTTGTTCTTCCTTTTAGTTCTTGTTTATGCTGGATGTCCATTGTCTTTGATTGAGCAGGATATCACATTTGAGAAATTACTGTAGAAATCATGTGAGGCTTAGAATAATCTTATCTTCCTCTAAAAGGATTTTTAACAATTGCTTTTTTCCCAGGTGCTTGGTGATCTAGAATCACCATATTACATAATCAGGGCTTGAAATTTCCTGGACAATCTAGTTTGTCCCAGACGGAAATCTTCTCTGGTCCCTCATCCCCACCACAGATGAAGTACCCTGCCTGAGTGCTCTCATGGTAACTTGGGCCGTAACAAGCATTTACCTGTTATCTTACTTATGCTTCCAAACTAGACTGTAAATGTGTTAAGGATACTGGATGTCATTTACTCTGTATCTCTAGCATTTAGCATAGCACCTGGGCAATAGCAGGTACTCAGTAAGTGTTGTGGGCCTAAATTGGTTAGTTATCTAGCACTTGCCTTCTGTGAGTCATTCTTTCATGTGAGACAAAATACCTGACACCAACAACTTATGGGGAGAAGGTCCCAGCAGAGCAAAGCTGCTCAACCCATGCTGGCCAGGAGGCAGAGTGAGAAGAAGGGGGAAGGACAAGAATATACCCTTCCAGGTCACACCCCAGGGACCCACCTCCTCTAGCCAGATCCCACCTAAGAGCGTATTTAGCTAAGCCCCCACAATCCAATCACCTCCTAAAAGTCCTGTCTCTGAACAATGAGACTTTTGGGGGACATTTTCAATCTTAACCATAAGAGCCCACTCAAGAAGGTGGTAACTTATTGGTAGTCTCCATGACTCACATCTGCTCTGTGTGTAAGGAGAGACTTCTGTGGCTGGAATGCTCAGAGATGCTGATTTTGCAGCCAGGCTAGGGAGCAGAAGAGTGGAATGCAAAAGAAAGAAGTGGTTGGCTTGGGGCACCTCTGGAATGAGCAGAAATTGAGACAAGCTCAAACTTGGAATAGATAGATCAGATCCAATTATACCCAGATCTCTAGGGAATGAAGGGCTCCTAGCTGACATCTGGGTAAGACTGCATCTAGAAATTCCTGGCAGAATGGTTTTCAAGAAAGGAATTTTGCATAACTGGTATGCTGCACACACAGGATTTGGGGTTGTATCCACAAGTACCACTTATCTTTGTTTTCCATTGACTTTTAATCAGCGGGGGTATAGGTGGTCTTCTCCCTGGCCATGGGTAAAAATCCTTTCAAGCACATAAATTTTTCTTGGTACCTGTAGGTAAAAGTCCAGGAATCATTAAGTTCCAAATGCAGACTCAATTCAATCATCTAGTCTAATATACTAATTAATAAGTCCTTACCCAAAGATAAGATTTATCTCCCTCTCTCCCCAAAGCTAGGACCCATGGGAGTGGGTCATCTGCAGCCTGACAGGGACTGTGTTTAGCCTCCTTCTTTAATTTCTCCTTATTTTACTGCTGCTTTCCACCTGCACTGTTGCAATGGGGAAAGGTGGAGAGAGAAGAGGGTTGGGAAGGTTCTTAGTGAAATGGCTTTTACGTCCCTACACCTGGGGCTCCTACGGTTCCCTGGCAGCTGTTCAGAGCTGGCTCCTGGAGGCTCTCTCAGGATCCCTCTGTTGGACTCCTCTCGCTCAGCTCTCTCGTCTTCATCAGGCTTCTCTGCTCCTGTCCGCAGTGTGTTCTCACCCCTCAGCCTATAACCTTTGCATCCTTTTGTCCTCATTGGCCAACATCTTAGTCAAGCCCTAGGTGGATAGTGCCTATAATACTTCATCTGGTCCCCAGGATTCTTATCTTATGTGACCTGCACTCATAGGGTGCAGTAATCCATGACCTGGTAATCTTCTCTCTTCCAAGTTTGCTCACCTTTCTCAGAGCCAGGCCAGTATATGTGCCCAGCAGCAAAGGCCACCCAGCAAATCCTTGCAGCCACTGTCACTAGACTGGAGAGGAGGAAGCAGGTGACCTTTCAGACTTTCTCAGGGACATTTCCCCCCAAAAAATTCTCTCTGAGCAGGGCATGGTGGCACATGCTTGTAAACCCAGTAGTCTGGGAGGTTGAGGCAGGAGGATAGCAAATTCAAGTCTTGACTAAGCAATTTAGTGACACTCTGTCTTAAAAAATAAAAAAGATCTAGGGATGTAGCTCAGCACAAAGGCCTTGGGTTCAATCCCCAGTGCCACAAAAACAAACAAACAAACAAACAAACAAACAAACACATAAATAAATTCTGCCTAGCTGTCCTTTTTTTTTTTTGCTTTATTTTTTCTTTCTGGGTATGAAGTTCCCTAGATGAGAGGACCAAGAGACAGGTAATCGGATTTCAAAACTGTCCTTTGAAAATCTACAGCTTTGTCATCTGCTTCCCACTTTATTTCAATGCTCAATGACTATCTTATATCGACATTTCCATCAAAACTTAAAACTTACCAACATTGCACTTAACACATTTTTATATCAGAATGAAGCCACTGTTTTTTATGATTATCCAGTGAATGCATGTTGCCCACCAGCTGTCTGATCCCATGACCTCAGTCTGATGAATATAGTACGATTCACATTAGACTTCACATCTCATTTGACCCTGTGTCACTTAGGGATGCTTTGGACTGGATAATTTACAAAGGAAAGAGGTTTCTTTTGGCTTATGATTCTGGAGGCTAGGAAGTCCAAGACTATGGCATCACTGAGAGCCTCATGCTGCTTCAGATTGTGGTAGAAAGTGGAGGGACAAGCAGTGCATGCAGAAGAGAGAAAACACGAGAGGCAACTTTATAACTAGGTCTTGTGATGACTAATTCAAGTCCACAGGAATTAATCCATTCCCCTGTGAAAGGAAGTAATCCCTCTTAATGACCTAATCATTTCTTAAAGTTCCCACTTCCCTACATGGCCCTATGGTGATTAAATTTTAATGTGAGCTTTGGAAGGGGTAAGCCATATTCAAACCACAGCACTCCTCTTTCAGGTCCGGATGTGGCTTCTTATGGCCTGGAAATTAAACTAAAGGTTATTTGTAAACAGGAAAAAGATGGAAAGTACCAAGTGTTGAGAAGAATGTGGGACAACAGAACTCTGATATGCTTTTGTATATGGGAGTTTACTGACCAACTACTTAGGAAAACTTTGGCAGTGACTGATAAAGCTGAGTGTTGGCATTCCCTGTAAGCCAGCAGTGTTCCTCTTAGGTGAATACTTAACAGAAATGTGAATAGATGTGCAAGAAAGGCATGTTATACAATGCACCAAGTCATATCATTTATAATAACCTTAAATGCGAAGCAAGTTAGACATCTGTGAATAGAATATATATTGACACTGGGATAGCACACAGAAATGAGAATGAATGATTTCATACTACAGCAACATGGACGAATCTCAAAATTATGCTGAGCAAAACGAGCCATAGACCAAAGAAAATGTATTGTGTGATTCTATTTATATAAAATATAAAACCTGGTAAAGTTCTGTGGTGTTAAAAGTCAAGATAACAGTTTCCTTTGGAGGAGAGGGTAATGTTTCTAAGGCAGTATAAGGGAGAAGATTCTTCATTTGGGTGCTAATTATATGGACATGTTCAATATCTGAAAATTTATTGAGCTGTATACTTTATATGTACCTTTGTATATACTATATATCAATACAATAAAATAAAAGCTTATAATGTACAGTGTGAAGAAGCAATAAGAGCTTACACTCAGGAGAGACAGAGATAGAGACAGAGAAAATGAAAAACATGTTTCATGTCATTTCCAGGTCAGCAAAGTGTATCCAATACTGCCGGATAGAAGTAGCAGTTCTTCTGGCAGTATATTAAATTCTTAGTTAGAGAATCTGGAAGACACATCCTGTTCTGTCCCTCTGTGCAGAACACACACCTTTTACACCCCACTTCCTGCTGGAGGGAATTCTGGGGTCTAGGGGTTGACATAGGATAAAAGAGCAACAGATTGTTGTTGAACAGGCTTGAGATTGCAGGGACACAAGATTCCCTCAGTCATTTGTCAGGTTTCCTGATCAATTCCAAGAATAATCACAATCAAATAATTTATCTAAAGTTTCTTTAACTTGTTTATTATTTTTGGTTTAAAAAAAATTTTTTTTGTACCAGGGATCAAACTAAGGACCTTGCACTTGTGAGGCAGGCAGTGGCGCCACTGAGCCAAATCCCAGCTTGGCTTTATTTTTTTGACACAAGGTCTCATTTATGTAGTTCAGACTAACTTTGAACTCACTGTGTAGACCAGGCTGGCCTCAGATGTGTGGTGATCCTCAGCCTCCCAAGTGCTGAGGTTACAGGTGTGTGCCACCATGCCCAGCTTTTAAAATGGTGTTTATTTTGCAGTATGTGCGATTGAACTCAGGAATCTGCACTTGCAAGGCAGGCGGCCTAAAATTGTTTTTTAATTAAATATTTTCCATTTATTTCTTTCAATTAAGTAATATATTTGTATAGTTTTTAGAAATCAAAGCAATACCAAAAGGTATATACTTAAGTCTTATTCTCACTCCTGTTCTTACCTGCCTTGGAATCCTCTATAATGGGAAAACATTGTTTTGAAGAATGATAGCTGAAGAGATGTCACCTACAACGCCTCTTGCCACCTGTGGCTCCAATCTTAGCTCCTGATCATGCTGCTGTTTCTCACTCTCCTCTTATGTTGGTTTAAGCTTGGGTAATTTGGTCATTTCTACCCAGCAGGGCTCCAAGTTTATGGCTTCAAGTTTGGCCAATGTAGATTGTAGGATGCAGATAGAGATCCTCTTTTACCAAGTCTTTGATCTGGGCTTTTAAATCAGTTATTTCTAATTTAGGTTTGCCATTCGTTTGAAGGAGTTTACTGAAAGCTACTTAAAAAAAACACCAAATACCCACTAATGTTCACATAGTTTTCATATTTCTCCTAAAATATAGCTGGTCTACTAAGCAAAAGTCTTTGGACAGTTTCACGACGGCTTAATAAGGGTCACCAGCTTTCTGGTTTGGAATACCTTAATCCCCCATTGGCCAATAACAAATTTTAGTGTATGTTTTTAGTACCAAATTATTTTCCTATTAGGAATGGATACAGTTACAAGTTATAGAACACCCACCCATAAATGACTTAAAGGTGGCTTCTCACTCATGGACTAGACCTGGGCAAGACTGGAAGCACAGAGGTCAATTGGGAAGCTGGATTAGTTACTTTTTCTGTTGCTGGGACAAAATACCCAATACCTACTACTCAAAGGAGAAGAGGTTTGTTTTGGCTTGCGTTTCAGAAGGTTCCATCCCTGGTTAGCCAGCTCCAAGACAGAAATAGCATGGGGGAAGGGCAAGGCGGAGGAAAGTTGTTTAAGCCATGGCAGCCAGGAAGCAGAGAAACAGAAGTGAGGAGCCAGGGACAAGAACACACTCTCTGAAGTCATACCCCAGGGACTCGCCTCCTATCAAGGCTCCACCTCCTTACAACATATTCAGCTAGTGAACTTATCAATGGATGGATCCACTGACGAGTACAGAGTCCTTGTAATCCAGTCACTTTCAGAACTTTATATGAGACTTTTGGGGGGCATTTTAGATCAAAACCATAACAGAAACTCTCAAGTAGTCGATGGCAGATGGTGGTTCCTTGGAGTAGAATAGTACTTTTAGAGTAGTAGAGGTGGAAAGGAGGATTTATTTTATATATATATATATATTTTTTTTTTCCCCCCCTCAGTACCAGGGACTGAAAGTTTTGTTTGTTTTTGAGACAGGGTCTCACCATATAGTTCAGACTGGCCTTGAACATACTATGTAGTCCAGGCTGGCCTCAAACTTGAGGCAATCTGTCTGCCTTAGCCTCTGAAGTGCTGGGATACAGGTGTGTGCTACCACACCTGGCCAGGTAGCATCAAAAGGATTTGCTGAATGATTAGTTATAAAGGTAAGGGAGCCAGGCATGGTGGTACATGCCTGTAATCTTAGCATTCTGGAGGCTGAGGCAGGAAAATTTCTGTAACTTCAGGACCATCTTGGGCTACACAGTAAGCTCAAGGTCAGCCTGAACTATACAGTGAGATCTATCTCATAAAGCAAAACAGACAACCCTCACAAACAAACACAAATAATAAGAGAAATCAATAAGAACTTTTAGAATTTTACTTAACAGTGACCTTTAGTAAAATGAACTATTGTAGTAAAATGGACAAATGACATTTACCGAGATTTTAGGAGCTATGTTAAATTTGAGGTGCCAGTTAAGACGTTCATGTTGAATGTCAAGCAGGCATTTATTTAGAGGACTTAGGAATTGCTGAGAGAAGGGATCTCAACTGAGATAAATACTGGAGTCATCTGCATATAACTGGTATCTAAAGATAGGAGGAGATGAAGTCATACAGGAAGAGTGGTTAAAGAGAGAAGGATAGAATCCTGAGAACTTTGATATTTATATGCTAAGCGGAGGAGGAGAAGCCAGTAAAATAGCCTACAAAGAGCCAGTGAAGTAGGAGGAGGACCAAGAGTGTGTGGTGTCAGAAACAAGAGAAGAAAGTATTTCAAAGTAGAAAGTGTTTCAAAGTGGAAGTGGTTAACTATGATGAATAGTATTGAGAAGGCAAGTAAAATAAAAACAGAGATCAAAGAAGAGGCTACCAGATTTGCAGTTTGGCTTCAGTAGCGTAATAGGAAAGAAACCAGACAGCAGGCTTATATGCTGATGGCAATGATTTGGTTGAGAGGGAATACTTCCTGACTTGAGAGATGACAAAGGACAATATCTGCAGAAAAGGGGGAAGCGTTGGTTAAATAGAACAAGGACACCACCCATCTACTAGATACTGATCTTCTTAAAGGAAGATTCCATATCTTATCTGCATTTCTATAGCTTTTAGGACAGTGCCTAGTGCATAGAAGGAACTCAAGAACTGTTACTAAAAGAACAAAGGAGGGATGGATGAAACAGTACATGGACGGATGGGTGGACAGATGGCAGGTGCAGGGCACCTGGAATGAACTAGATCAAACTAATCCAAACTAAGGAAAGTGAAAAAGGTTACTGAGTCAACAAGGCCTCTTTAGGGATCCTGGGATTTTTTTCTTTGGTATAATTTGAGAGACTTCAATCTCAGATGAAGATGGGAGAATGAGATAGTTAATGACAGTGGTCCACTTTCAAAGTACTGAAAGGCTGAAAGAAGATTCTGGGGTCATCTACCGAATTACTCTTGTCTCTCTTTTGAATCCGGACTTAAATGAAAAAAAATGTTTTTATGGATACAAATGGGAGGAGGGATTTTAAAAATGACAGGTCTACATTCATTTATTCACCCGAGAGACAAAGTGTGGGAACAAAATTACACAGCGATTGTCTGCTCTCTTCTGAAAGTGCTTTTTACGAACTGCACAGGAAAGGTGGTATTTGAACCGGGACTTTGAACTTGAACTGGGAATAAATGGGTACTGAGGCTGACTCGGCTTGTAGGATCCAGTAGCTCCAAGAGGAGCGGCCGGCACCAACGCCCTCTAGCCCTTTCGTTAGGGAAGAACTAGGTCAGGATCTCCCCATCTTGAACTCTGAGCACCCTCAAAGTCGCGGACCCAAGAAGGTGAGGGGATGAGCCAGGTACCGGCTGCGGAGCCCGTCCCATCTTCCACCACGAGACACCCGCCGAACCATGCTCTTGTGGGGGCGACTGGGGCTACCTCTTAACCCGCCGGGCTGTTGGGCTCCCGGTGGCCCGTTCCCGTCAGGAGCTGGGTGTGGCCCGCGGGAAGGCGGGTGGAGCTGAGTCTGCCCCGTGTTACACGTGGACTCACCGGAGCTGTCCTTTCGGCGGCCGGCCGGGGGCGGGGCCTGAGGCGCCCAGAGGCGGGAGG